AACCGGTAGTAAAAAAAAAAAAAGGAAAAAAGCCAACGATCAGCTGAGAGAAGGAAAAAACTCCTCCACAATCAGCTGAGAGGAAAAAGAAGAGAAAAGTGCAGGATCAGCCCTCCCCAGGATCATCGGCTGAGAAAGTCATTGTCCATCCCTTACTTCTCTGCGCTTGAAACAGACAATGGTGAGGATTGAGCCCCTGCAGGCTAATACAATGGCTCTGCAAGTTTTATTTCATTTATAAATGCTCAACAGCCAAAGTCATTAATCAGATTTTCACGAGTACTCGATTGTTTAGATGCAAAAAAGCAAGGTTTGTTTTTCAGAAAGAAGCAAAGGGGGGAGAGGCATCTCTTCCACACTAATTGAGCAGTAATTTCATTACAAAAATAAATAAATAAAATAAACCAAAGTCTAATTTAAAATCTGTCATCTAATTAATTAGGAACACTGATTTAGCCAGCTACGTTTTATTTTTCCCAATTATTGCAGTCTGGGCCAGTTTGGGTTGGGAGGGGGAGTAATCCTCTGAATGCAAATAGCCATTGAGGAGGCTCAGCAGTCCTTCAATCAGAATAGAGCTGGAAGGGACCTTTGAGGTCTTCTAGTCCAACCCCCTGCTCAAGCAGGAGACCCTATACCATTTCAGACAAGTGACTGTCCACTTTCTTCTTAAAAACCTCCAGTGATGGAGCGCTCATGATTTCTAAAGGCAAGCTACTCCAATGCTTGCAGGTCAACTTGTGTGAGTGGCAGCCAGTGCATACATACATGCGCATCACACAAGTTGAGCTGCATTTACATGGCCCAGTTCCCCTCTCCCCTCCCTCCCAGCTGCACCACCAACTTGCAAAGTCTGGGGACTGCTGCCTTAGCACCCTATCAATGCCTTGCAGGAGCAATGAGGAAGAGTTTAAATTAGCTGGTCCAGGACAAGATTCACACGGACAACATCTACATTCCAACCTGGTTGGGAGTGATGGGGAGAGCAAGTTTCCTCCATGTTCCTAAGCTCAGCGGAAGCACCCGAGTGGGTTGGCCTGGCTAAAACTGCAACAAGAGCAAACTTGGCTTCTTAGCTAAAGTTTTACCAACAAAGAAATAAAGGGAGACAAGTATAGATCTCTTTCAAGCTATTTAGCTCTCATCAGCTAGCCAAACGCTTCTGGGATTCAAACCTGGGCTACTTACATATTAGGTAGATGTAAGAATAGGAACAGGAGAATAGAATAGAGTAGAGTAGAATAGAGTAGAGTAGAGTATAATAGAGTAGAATAGTTTAGAACAGGAATAGAATAGCAATAGGAGTAGGAGTAGAATAGAATAGGAGAATAGGATAGGATAGGATAGGATAGGATAGGATAGGATAGGATAGGATAGGATAGGATAGGATAGGATAGGATAGGATAGAACAGAATAGAACAGAACAGTAATAGAATAGGAGTAGGAGTAGAAAGAAATAGAATAGAATAGAATAGAATAGAATAGAATAGAATAGAATAGAATAGAATAGAATAGAATAGAATAGAATAGAAGTAGGAGTAGGAGTAATAGAATAGAATAGGAGTAGGAAAATAGAATAGGAATAGAATAGGAATAGGAACAGAATAGAAATAGGAGAATAGAATAGGATAGGATAGGATAGAATAGGATAGGAATAGGAATAGGAGTAGAATAGGAGTAGAATAGAACAGAATAGAACATAATAGAACGGAATGGAATGGAACAGAACAGAACAGAATAAGAAAGAATAGGAATAGAATTCTTTATTGGCCAAGTGTGATTGGACACACAAGGAATTTGTCTTCAGTTTAACCCCTATTAACCTCTAAGCCCAGACTCCCAGGAGGTTTTGGCTAGTTGATGAGAGCTAAATAGCTTGAAATTGATCTATAGAATTCTCCCTGTCTTGCTTTGTCGGTAAAACACAAATTCAAGAGAAAAACAGTTGGTCATGAAAGCGACTGCCTGTGAAGGCTCCTGGATTGGGGTTGAAAGGTGAAAGCAGAAGCAGTATGCTCCATCCCATAATTGGGGAGACCAGGTTGCCAATAGACCGGACCCGCTGGGGAAAAAAAACAAGAGGTTGGAAGGAAGCATTCCAGCCCTCTTCCTGCCTGAGACTGGACCCATGGATCCCCTGGGTGGATCAGGAGGCTGGAATCTCCTCCTCAAACTATGAATGTCCACTTTCAGCCCTGAATCACCTCCAGAGTTTAGTTCATAAACAGCGTTTCTTATCTGCCTTCTCTTCAGCACACAGAATATCCACAGGGCAGCTTCTTGCAAGACCACGTTGCCAGGTGGAGAAGTCAACGATGTACACATAGTCGTCCTCATTTAGTGACCAGTCTCAGTTATAAGGGTGATTAAAAAAGTAACTTTATGACTCCCATTTATGACCCACACAGGTCTGTCAAGCAAACTAAACCCAGACATGGTTTGGCTCAGTGGCCACTTTGCTTAACGGCACGGTGGGCGTTCCCAGTTGTGGTCACTGAACGAGGACGGCCTGTAGTGCTGAGTGCCAGAACCTCAGCAGGTGGCAGTCCTTGGCTAGCCTCAGCAACAAAGCTGGATCAAGACTGGCTAGGAGGTGGACAAGCTAGGCAGGACGCTGCAAGAAGCCAATGTCCAGTTGCCCCCAAAATGATACAGACGAAGACTTTAAAGAGACTTAAGGTGGAAAAGTCTAATTTTGAAAGACGAGGACTGCCAAATACTTCTCTCCCCTCGCCCCCTCCCCCTTTGAAAGCTTACTTGTTTCCTGCAAGGCCGAGCAGCACCGGCGGCTGGGAAGGGAGCGCTCCGGCAGAGCTTTGGCGCTCCTGGATCAGTTACAGACCCATGGGGCACGCGGCTGAGTTTCCATGGCAAATGCTCCCCAGGACAGTAACCTAATAGGGGCGTCCTTTGCAGCCCAGCCTAGCCAGGGAGAAGCAGGCAGGGCCTGGGATGGACAGAGGAGAAGGATTGAGGAGTTCAACAGAGAGATGGAGGGGCTGCACTCACTGTGGGCTGTGCCTTATATACATTTCGTGGGAATTGTAGTGGCACGCAATTGTGATGGACAGAAGCTCTCAAAGACAGTGAGCCATAGAGCGGCCTGGCTGGCCCCTTCCGAGTCAAAACACAGCAAAAGGAAGTAATGGTGAGTAGTAAGTAGTACTACACCTAGGAAGATCACACCTAGAGTACTGCATCAGAGGTGGCATTCAGCAGGTTCTGACCAGTTCTGGAGAACCGGTAGCAGAAATTTTGAGTAGCTAGGAGAACCGGCAAATCCCACCTCTGACTGGAAATTTTATAGTGTCCTTCCCAACACGCCCACCAAGCCACATCCACAGAACCCGTAGTAAAAAAATTCAGTCCCACCACTGTACTGCATCCCGTTTTGGTCACCACACTAAAAAAAAGATGTTGAGACTCTAGAAAAAGTGCAGAGAAGAGCAACCAGGATGATGAGGGGACTGGAGGCTAAAACGTATGATGAATGGTTGCAGGAACTGGGTATGTCTGGTCTAGTGAAGAGAAGGACCAGGGGAGAGAGGAGAGCAGCCTTCCAATACTTGAGGGGCTGCCCAAGAGAGGAGGAGGGGGTCAAGCTATTTTCCAAGGAACCTGAAGGCCAGAGAAGGAATAATGGACGGAAACTGATCAAGGGGAGATTCAACCTGGAAATAAGGAGAAACTTTCTGGCAGTGAGAACAATCAACCAATGGAACAGAAGTTGCCCTCAGAAGTTGTGGGAGCTTCATCTCTGGAAGTTTTCAAAAAGAGATTGGACTGCCACTTGTCCAAAATGGTGTAGGGTCTCCTGTTCGGGCGGGGATCCATCCAGGCTGCCTGCAGGTCATGGGTTCGGCCAGAATGACCTGTTGTGAGGGCTATGAATCACCAGGTGGAGCCCAGGAAAGCCTTTGTGCCCAGGTGCACATTTTACATTTTGTATTTATATTTTGCCTGTCTCAAAGGTGCAGAGGTTTTTCAAAGGGCACCTGGAGTGTTTTTTTTCCTTTGAGGAGGAGGAAGAAAACATTTCACTTCTCATCCAGGAAGCTTCATCACTCACTAATCTAGAGAAAAGAAGGAACTAGGGGAAACATGATAGTTGCCTTCCAGTATTTGAGGGGCTACCACGAAGAAGTGGGGGTCAAACTATTCTCCACAGCCCCAGGGGGCAGGACAAGAAACTATGGGTGGAAAGCAGTGGTGGGATTCAAATTGTTTTACTACTGGTGCTGTGGGCATCGCTTGGTGGGCGTGGCAGGGGAAGGATATTGTAAAATCTCCAGTCAGAAATGGGATTTGCCAGTTCTGTGAACTACTCAACATTTCCGCTACCGGTTCTCCAGAACTGGTCAGAACCTGCTGGTGGAAACTGATCAAAGACAGAAGCAACCTAGAATTAAGGAGAAACTTCTTGACAGTGAGAACAACCAACCAGTGGAACAGTTTTGCCTTCAGAAGTTGTGGGGGCTCCATCACTGGAGGCTTTTAAGAAGAGACTAGACAGTCACTTGTCCGAGATGGTATAGTTTTTCCTGCTTGAGCAGGGGGCTGGACTAGAAGACCTCCAAGGTCCCTTCCAGCTCTATTCTGATTCTAAGATGGGGGGAAGCGATGGAAGCCTTACTTCTGATGGGATTGGGAGGGTGGAAAGATCATATTTCTTTCTTGGTCGTTAGCACTTATATTTGGCTTGTTGTGAGATCTTTTCTTCTTGTTGTTGTTATTTAAACAGCGTGTGTTTATGATGCTGCGTCAACCGCTCTCGCTCCCCCGGAGACTCTCCTGCCTGCGGCGCTACGGCCGCGGAGGAACAGCGCAGAGCGAGGCCGAAAGGAAACCGACCCCATCGCTCTTCCCGATTCAGCCTCAACGGGAGGGTTCTCCGTCCGGCTCCTACAATTCCCATCCTGCCTTCTCCCGCGCGGGCGCGTGACGTCACGAGGGCGGCCGGCTCCGGCGTTCGCGGATTGGACGACGGCTGGCTCCGCCCCTGCCCTCCCTCGGACTGTCATGGCGGCGCCCGTTCCGGGGATCAGGGAAATTGCCGGTAGCGGGCCCGTTGCTAAGCGACGAGGCGGGGGAGGGGGGCGCCTCTCGGCGGGTTGCAGGGAAGGGGCCCCGAAATGAGCGGCCGCCCCTCGCCATAAGCTGCCGCTTATAAGAGCGGGCGGCGGGAGAGCCTCCCCGGTCTAAGCGAGCAGCCGCAGCGGGTGTGCCCGGCGCTTCTAGGGGTTCCGGGGAGGAAGCGGCCTGGCCCGCTGCGAGGCCACCCGCCTCCTGGCTCGCCCCGCTGACTCCTTAGGTGTAGCTGGCAGGAACGGCCGTGGGGGAGGGGGGCGCAGATACAGGTAGTCCTCGACTTACAACCGTTCGTTTAGTGACCGTTCAAAATCACACCGGCGCCGAAAGAAGTGACCTGTGACCATTTTTCACACTTACGACCGTTGCAGCGTTCCCCAAATTCAGACGCTTGGCAGCTGACCCATATTTACGATGGTTGCCGCGTCCAGGTCACGTGATCCCTTTTACGACCTTCTGGCAAGCAGACTGAATGGGGAGAAGCCAGATTCACTTAACGTCACTAGTTTTTCAATGACAGTGTTTAATTTAGCAACTGGGGTGAAAGGTCGTATAATGGGACAAAATTAAATGTCTCATGTAGCAACTGAAATCTTGGGCTCAATTGTGGCCGTATGTTGAGGGCTACCTGTATTCCCCCTAGAGCCCATTCCCGCCTCGCCCCATGCAAACTGTGGGTGGGGAAGACCAAGCCCACTTTTACCCCTTTGGGGGCACCCAGACAGAGCCCGGCTGACCCTCCCCAGGGTTGCAGATGTGGAAGCCATGCTGGCGGGTCTCCTTGGGCCTGAAGGGGAAGTCAAGTGGCTGGCCACGACCTGCTAAGGTGTGCGTGGATTTTGCAGGGCGAGATGGACTTCGTGATCCTCTTCGGCCTGTACCTCGGCCTGGTGCTGCTCAGCGTGGCGGTCTGCGTCTCCTCCCGACGGGAGCAAAGCTTCTCTTGGAGGCTCATCAGGGGCACAATTGAAGTAAGGGGCATCCAGCTGTGTGCCAGTTTCTGCCCTCCCAACACCAATCTCCACGCATCTGGCTTGGACCCCAGTCCAGTCCAGTCCCTTATCTTATTTTTATTTTTCAAATAATTTCTACACCACCCATCACACTTGCCTTTGGATGGCTAACTTTCCCTTGCGGGGGGGGGGGAAAGAAAAGGAAGGCCCAGCATTATAGCTTCTCCTCCTTCCAGCATTTTGTATGTCAACCTCCATCCCGTCCTTCATTTGCAGCCTCTGCTCTAGTAAAGAGTAAAAGCAAAGTTCCCAGAATCATTTCCTTTAGCGTGGACAACAGCCCCTTTCGTGGAAGAAGATGGAAATGCTTCTTGTATGCCATTTCCTGAAATGAACTTATTGACTTAGGAAATTTATGGGCTGCTCCAATCTGTTCCAACTTTGGGCAGCTTACAAAGTACAAAAACAAATGCTATGGAAACACAAATGAAATCACAAAGCCAGGGGAGAAACAACTTTGAAACAATACCATACAATAGATCCGTCACCGGCTCTAACCCAAGACCTGGGCCAGGTCTCAAAGGCTTATTTGAAAAGAACCAGGAGGAGTTCCCTGCAGATCTCAGGGGGGCATTTCAAAGAATAGGATCCATGAGAGAGAGAGAGGACTTGATTTCTGAGACTTTTTCTCCCCATATAGACAAATTCAGCCTTCAAACACTGGGACAATATCTTGATAGCATCACCTGTGGCTGTGGCTTAAGATGCAAATCTGAGTATCATGCATCCCACAATCCAGTGGCCTCATGTGAATGTTAAACAAGAGGGATGAGAGCATTGAGTCCCGTTGTACCCAACATAAGAGGGGTCTCTGGTTTCTTCTCTCTCCCCTCCAGCTAGACCTCCAGCTAGATACTGGAAATCGTTCAGGATGGCTACCCTTTCCCTGCCCAAGCACTGTCAGGAATCAGCAACAAGAATGACCAGTGCTGTCTTTAACTACCAAGACTATTATTACGATGGGAGCTGTCTGGGTCTCTTGGGAGATGCTGTTTCAATAGATGACATCATTTGATGTAGGATCCTAATTTAAACAAAATATCTTGGAAGAACTGTGGGGTAGTGGCATTCTCTCCTTGTTGATGGGACCGTGGTTCCCTGTCCTCCCCCTTTTTCTAAAGATGTGGAGGATTACTTCAGCAATGACTCTTTCCATCTCAGGGCCTCTTTTATTGCTGTTTGACACCTAACAACCTGAAGGTTAGCATCAAGACTGACAACGATCTTGCAGGTTTTGTGAGTGAGTGTGTTTATCTGTGCTCCCCACCCCCCCACCTATTCCTTTTTTTACATAATTATGTTGCCCTTTTTCTCCTTCGATGCAGGTATTCTCCTATGTCATTCCAGCTCCAGTTCAAAGAGGAGCTCAGAAGGCAATTCAGGGACTCTTCCATTCCAGGTATTGCCTGTCTGTTTCTTTATTGGCTACATTCTCTGGCATTTGTGAATATTGGCATTAATGGGCCCTTGGGAACATCCTAGCTTGGTTAAAATGGCTTCCCGTGCCGTTCAAATTTGCAACGTCCCTTCTGCATACTTACCTCCTAGTTTTATATTCCCTACAATTTTGTGGTATCACATTGATCTTTACATTTTGTTTGGGGTGAGGTCTGCTGGACTATTCTCCCCTTTCTTCGGGATCTTTGAGTTGTTAGAAATTGCTTCTGTGTTGGCAAGAAGCCTGGCACATATTTGTAGTAATTCAGCATCCCCACAACATACTCCCAGGAGCTCCTGGACCTTCCCAGCCTCCTGTTTGCTGCTCCCAGAGCAGCTGTGGAACAAAAGAGGCCCTTCCTCACAAGCTTCTTAGCTTGGAACAGAATAGCAATAGCACAGATTTATATACCGCTTCATTGTGCTTTCCAGCCCTCTCTAAGTGGTTTACAGAGTCAACCTCGTTCCCCCAACAATCTAGGTCCTCATTTTTACCCTCCTGGGAAGGATGGAAAGAGGAGTCAACCTTGAGCCTGGTGGGAATCGAACTGCCGAACTGCCAGCAGTCAGCAGAAGTAACCTGCAGTACTGCACTCTCACCACTGCGCCATCGTGGCTCACAGGAGGGCAGTCATTCTGTGATCCTAGGTCACCTTCTAATTCTTTGGGCCATCCGGTCTCAGCAGAATTCCTACATTTGGACGCTTCTAAGGGGATGGTCTTTGGAAAGGATGCAAGCCAAAGAAATTAATAAATACGCCACCCTAAACCTACAAAAAGCAGAACCCACCTTGGCCTGCTGTGCAAAGGCAGCTGCCGGGCGAGATGAATTCACCTAAGGTGTCTGTATTGAATTCTGAGTTAGGATTGTCACCCACAGAACATGTTTTGAGGCCTGATATGCCATCTCCGGTCAGAGGCCTTTCCCTTTCCCTTCGAAGCGGGGAAGAGAAACGCATCTCGTTCTCTCCTTGCTGCAGGAATTCTTTCTTTGTGGTCTTGCACTTGATCTTGGAAGGGCTGGTTTATGGCGAGTATACCTGGGAAGTCTTCAGCTACTGCCAAGAGCTGCAGTTCAGCAGGCTCATCCTCTTTCTTCCTTATCTCCTGTTGGCTGTGAATGCAGCTTTCTTCATCCTCTGCTCCAGGAGTAACCCAGGTGAGGCCTTTTTTCCGTGCAGTCTCAGCTCTTGAGACACTGGCCCTATCCTGGGCGGTTGATGGTGCCCCACTGCCCGCCAGCTGGCTGTGCCCTGGGCAAGTGATGGTTTGGGTTGAGCTTGTTCTCTTTCCACATCAGTAGAACCTTAACCTCAAGGCTTGAATATCACTTGGAGTCTTATTTGTTTATTTAATTTATATGGCCGCCTATTCACCCATGGTGACTTGAGGCGGTTTACACAATGTAAAACCATATTTAAAACAAAAAATTAAAATTAAAAAAAAACAATAAAAAGTAACAAAAAGAATCAAATAAATTTGTAAAGTACAATAGAATAAAATTTGGGATGGGGGAATCAACTCCCACCTCCCGCCCCGATGATAGCAGATCACACTAGCCATTTGATGGGCTCCATCCCTCTCTGGGTTCCCCAGACCCGCTGGCAAAACCAGGTCTTCAGTGCCCTTCGGAAGAGTGCTAGAGTGGGGGCCGTTCTAATCTCTGGGAGTGGGGGGTGTGATGATGTTTCAGAGAGAGGGAGCCATCACAGAGAAGGCCCTTCTTCTGGGTACCACCAGGTGTATCTCCCTCAGGGGTGGGACCCGCAGAGTCAGGTAGATGTGACCGGCAAGAGACATTCCCTCAGATAACCCGGTGTATGTATGACTTAAGAGGCCGGATTGCTGATATACAGGTAGTCCTTGACCATAATTCAGCCCAAAATTCCTCTTGCTAAGTGAGACGTTTGTGAAGTGAGTTCTGTCCCATTTAACAACCTTTCTTGCCACAGTTGTTAAGTGAATCAGATGGAGGCCTAATGCAAAAAAGCAGTTAGCTGGGCATATCTGTGATGCAGTTAAGGGATGTGAAGAACAGCCCACAGATGTACAGAGCAGGAGAAAGTTGCTTCAGAGGAAAACTGGATTTTACCTCTAGGGCAGTGGTGCCCAAACTTGGCAACTTTAAGACTTGTGGACTTCAACTTCCAGAATTCTGGAAGTTGAAGTCCATAAGTGTCACGCCCCTGTCTGAATCTGATTCATAGGGGGAGGCCGAACCGCTGACAGGGAGTGGGAGTGTGGCTCCGTTGGTTGTGAAAGAAACTGGAGAAGGGCAAAGTCTGTCTGGAGGAGGAATTCTGGGAGTTGAAGTCCACAAGACCCCTGATTTACATGAATCATTTATGCCAGTGGAATATCACTAAACGAGGAAACATTAATTCATGAAAGAAAGGAAGGAAAAAACTGCCCCATTGGTATAATGTAGGGGTCCCCAAACTTAGCAACTTTAAAACTTGTGGACTTCAACTCCCAGAATTCTTGGCTGGAGAATTCTGGGAGTTGAAGTCCACAAGTCTTAAAGTTGCTAAGTTTGGGGGGCCCCTGCTCTACGGTGTCTCTGATCTGAACCCTCGAGGTTAACTTTATAGTGCTTCAGGCACATGACAGGAAGGAAATCTTACAACAGCCAAGACCTTGCAGCCCTGATTGTAAATCATAGTAAGAATCCTTGCTTTTCCCCACAAGGTATCATCACCAAATCCAACCAGCTTCTCTTTCTTCATGCATATGCATACGACGGTCTGATGTTTCAAGAAGATGCTGAATGCCCTACCTGCGCAGTGAGAAAGCCAGCCCGATCCAGGCACTGCGGTAAGAGTCTCGATTTAGCATTTGCCCTCCCGAGCTCCATTTTCAATGGCAAGAGGCACCACCGGCCGGTCCTGGTGGCCCCATGGGCCAGATCTAAGCACCCTGTGGGCCGGATCCAGCCCACGGCCCTTGAGTTAGACACCCCTGCCATAGATCGAAATGCTGCCATATTTGGCTTTCAACTTGCTTATGATTTCTTAACACGTTGACCCTCCTCCATTCTCTGCTCAGGTGTGTGCCGTGGCTGCGTGCATCGTTTTGATCATCACTGTGTTTGGGTCAACAACTGCATTGGCGCCTTCAACATCCGGTTTTTCCTTTGCTACCTGCTGACTTTGACCTCCATGGCTGCTTCTGTTGCAGCTGTAACGGCCAGCTTTCTCATCCAGGTGGTCCTTTTGTCAAATCTTACATTGGGACATTACACTGATGACCAAGGTCAAGAGCATCCAGTTGATACCTTCTTCCTGATTCAGGTAAATATTGACTAACTGCTGACTCGTGCATTTTTCACGAGGAGGGAGGGGATACAGAGCTGGGTTTCAGAAGCCTGTGAGGGTATAGAGTGGATTGAAGTCATGTCTGTGTCTCGGAGACTCAAATATTGAAAATATGAATATATGAAAATATTGATAGGACATTAAATGGTTTGGAATAGAATAGAATTCTTTATTGGCCAAATGTGATTGGACACACAAGGAATTTGTCTTCGGTGCGTAAGTGTACATAAAAGATATAAGTGATGAATCAGGTTCATAGTCATCATGAATAATAAGATACAACAGTGATAATCATAGGATATTAAATAAGCAATCAAAACCAAATGAGACTAAATAAAACAATATAAATCATAAAGATTCAAGCGACAAGGATATAAGTCGTAAATAGAAAAGAAGATAGGTAATAGGAAGGATTGAGAATAGTAATACAGAATAGAATAGAATTCTTTTATTGGCCAAGTGTGACACACAAGGAATTTGTCTTAGTGAAAATACTCTTTGTATACATAAAAGAGACATTCATCGAGAGTCAAGAATCATCAGGTACAACACTTAATAATAGTCATAGAGTACAATAAGCAATCAAATCATACTAGGAAACCATCCATGTAACAACAGTCCATACAGTCTTAGTAGTTTGGCAGTGTGGTGGGAATTGGTTGTAAATGATTTTGCTTACTTTTTCATCACCGTCAAAGCTCTCAACCAATAGAACCATTGTGTGATGTTTCCTCACAGGAAATAGCCATATGGCCAAACTGCTTCAGCAGAAGGCTAGGCTTACATGAGCTCTGGGGTCTCTTCTAACTCAGATTTTGTAAACGATGTTGCCAGAAAGAATTACTTGCCAGAATTACTAGGCCGGGGGGGGGGGGGGGTTACCTGGAGATCCTGAGCACCTGGATTTTAACTCTTTCTCCCCTTCTCTTCACAGCAACTTTTCCTGACCTTTCCTAGAATTGTATTCATGCTGGGTTTTGTCATCCTTCTGTTGGTCATTCTGGGCTCCTATTTCTGCTTCATCCTGTACCTTGTACTGACCAACCAGACGAGCAACGAATGGTTTAAATCAGCAAGATACACACACTCATACTCAGAGCAATACAGCAGACAGGAAGGCTATAGAAATATCTACTCCAAAGGAGTCTGGGCCAATCTGGCAGAAATTGTGAGGCCTCTGACGAGTCCTGTGAAGAAAAGGAAGTGAAGCCTTGCACCTGTGGAGCTGGCAAAACAAGAGTTTTCGCATTACAAACTTAACCTTTCATGGAATGAAGTTTTTATTCTGTCTACTAAAGGACTATTCAGAAGCGGAAAAATGAGCTAACGTATTAGATTTGTTAATGTGCACACCCAGTGCTATTGTTTGCACTTTTAAAAGTTTGCCTGCTTAAAAGCCCTGGGGAGGAGGTGATGCATTGTTATTGTGGTGGTGTGATTGGTCGCAGTTTGTTTTTAGACACAATTTGGCATTTTTATCCACCTATTGAGTACTTTCCAAGGACCTGGGAAAAGCAGATGATGTTGGAGGCTGTTAAAAGATCTCATTGCAGGATTTAGGCCGTTCTGAGTCAAGCTGCCTTTTGCAATTGACTGGTGGGACTTTTGTCAATCATGTTCCAAGTGTTGCTCTAGAGGTTTGGGGATTGCACTCAAGGTGCCTATTACTGTTGGGACTATCTTCGTTCTCCTTTGCCACAGCTGCTCCGTTTTTTTATTTGCGTGCCTTTGTATTTTATGGTTTTCTCCAGTTCTCTCTCTCTTAGTCCGCTGTCTCCAAATACTGCCATCTCCTCTATCTTGTATTTTTATGGATTTTTATGGTTAAGTCTTGGAGTGTTATAAGATGAATGCTTGTCTGTATTGTTATTACTACATATTTTATAAATTATTACATATTTTTGGGGACGTGAGGTGAGTGGAGGCCTACGTCTATTTCATTTCCTGCTGCAAATTACCAGGAAGGCCCACTCCAGAGCTAGTTCTGCAGGGAACTGGAACTATGCAATGCCCTGAACTGCATTATGTGGGTATTTGAAACTTCTAAGAAGCCAATTCTATGGTTGGGTCCCTCCCATCCTTAAATTATAAGGGCTAAATTTCTGTTTGAGGCCTCTTGCACAATTCCTTTTCCTGCTACACCGACAAGACATTCCTGGGAGAGAAATAACCACTGATACATTTGAAGCCTTCAGCACTCTCCTTTAATTACATCGGAATACAATAATATAAAAAATTGTTTTGTTTAAAAAAATATTTACAAGTTAAATCAGACAATAGATAATTAAAAGCTACATGGTTGCAAAAATGTACAGTGTGGCCTTTCTGAGTATTCCGGCAATACAAATAAAGCCGCTGGTTTTCTAAAATGATAAAACCCACATTCCTATGAAAAAAAAGCAAGCCGAGTTTCCTCCCACACGTGGGAACCTCTCACTGCCACGTCATTAAGTATCCCTGCACACAATTTTCTTTTTTTTACTCTAAAGTGCTTTACTCGAGAACTGCCTGGTTTCAACAGGTTGCCACACCCAGAAGGGCCAGGTACCCTCCCTGACCAGAACATGTGGCCACCTGTTCATTCATCACTTGCTCAGTGAACACGCCGTGAGAAGCAGCACACAAACGGGCTCTTGGGGCGACGTCACTGGACCTGGGACCTGGGTGCAGCCAGGCTGCCACTCTGAAAAGCTTCCCCTCTGGGCGCCCTAGACAATCACAGCCTGAACTTCTAGGTCATCGTCGTCCTCGTGGGCTGCGATCACAAACTCCCCCGTGTGCTCCATTATCTCAATGTCTTCGGATGCCACCATGGTCACGGTGGCTTCCTCCACCTCCCCCCCGCCCTCCGTGGTCAGCACAGCCCCTTCCCCAATCGCTGAAGCCAGGGTCATGGCGACTTGCTCGGTCAGGCTCTCCGGAGTTGCTATGGCAATTGTGTCGGGGTCCACGCCCTCTGCTGTCATGGTTGAGTCATCTGCCACCGTGACATTCTGGACAATTATCTGGTGGCCAGAATTGGCTTGGTTTACTATCTGTTGAACCACTTTCATTATATGACTGTCCACCTGCACAGTGGGGGGAAAACAACTTAGAATCACTTTATTGTCACTTCGAATGCACATTAATCGGCATGTGTTAAAATGAAATTTAGTGAAATACAGCCGTCAAAGGGTCACCACCTCCAATATACACTATATAACCATGGCAGAATGAATGAATGAATGAATAATAAATTATGAACATACCCACATATATGACACAGTGACAACACATTCTAGTTTGAGTGTACACAAGTACAGAGAGAGAAAACTGATGGCATAGGGAACAAAGCTGTTACCAGAATCTGGTAGTCCTGCTAGAAATACTTCGAAACCTCCTCCCAGAGGGGAGCACGAGAAAGAGACCCTAAACTGGGTGTGTGGGGTCCCTAACAATGCTTAGAGCTCTAAGCACAGAGCGCTTATAAGCAGCATCCTGAATAATCCAAAGCGGGCTTCCTATAATCTCCACTGCCCTTACCACTCTCTGTAGGGACTTTCTATCTGAGGCACTGCTGCCACCAAACCAAACAGCGATGCAGTTTGTTAAAAAAAAAAAAAAAACCTCTCAACCGTGGCTCTGTAAAGTGGCCAGAACAGAAGGAGAAAGATGTGCTCGCAGGAAATGCAGACGCTGGTTTGCACGCTTCACGAAGGATGATGTGTGGAGAGACCAATTCAAATTGTTAGTTATCTGCAAGGTACGTTTGTCTTTGCTTATCCTGTGCATCAGGACCCAGCACTTCGGAGCAGGGTTACATCTTGCTACTTAGTGCAGTTTAAAATCTTCACTGTGGAGGAAAGCCAGTCCACACACAAGCAGTGAGTGGCTCAAAGGCTGAACTTCTTGCAGTGCATTTTTGGTTCCCAGGCCATCAATACTGACCCTCTTGTTCAACCCTAAAAACAGGAAAGGGGCTCCACCTCAGTCTCAGCACCACATTCAACTGAAATGTAGCTAATCAACAAAGGATTCATTGTTTCTGTCAGGGCAATTCTAAAATAGAAACTCACAAACCAGTTTATTAGGTTTGCCTCACACTAAAGGAGAAACCAGAGACCTCGAAGCAAAAATAATTTCCTATTCCCTAATATTATTCATCTTCCAAGACACTCCCACACAATCTGAAATGCAGTGAATGAGATGCAATCCCATTTCTGAGAGCCAGGCCAAATAAGAAGGGCTATCCAATTTGAGGACCAGAAATCACAATCTTGAAACTTTGTTGTGTGTCTGCATTGTGTGAGATCCAGGATTGGGGGGGCGGGGAAGGAACGGGTGATGAGATTAGCCACTTTAGGAACAACCATTCACCTTTTCCCTTCACCCTCGATTCCCTTCTAATTCTTCATCCCAGATGATTACATTTATTAAGGCTTGAATTCTTAACGATAAAGGAGAAACATCCTGGAATCAGCCTTTTAATGTGCCTCTTTCTGTCCAGTTATTATTAAAAAATTTTTTAAATGTACTGGCCATCCAGCTTCAGCTGGCTCCTGAAATAAACCGGGGCAGAAAGGGATTTCCCCGAAGGAAAGTGGCTGGCGGCAGACGTCCCTATACCTACCGCAAGCTGGTGGATGCAGAGACTAAGCTAGAGATTAGCTCACTGGACTTAGCAGAGCCAAATTCATGCCACGCTCTGCTTGCCTATGGAGGTCCCGTGGCTTGGGGATTTAGCGCTTGGGGGAAGGATTGGCTCCTTGAAGCGCCGAAAACAGCCGTTGCTGCGATCGTCAGAAAGCCTCCTTGAGAGCAACCCACCTCGTGCCTGGTTCCTTCGATGATCTCAGCAGCTTCGCTGGTTTCCAGGTCTTCAGCAGCTGTCTTTAAGAAAGAACGCACAGCCATTCAGAGATACTTCAGGGCTGCGGCCTCCTCCTCGGCAGCCCCAGTCCTTAGGCACTTCCTAGTCTTGTCCAGGAGTGTGCACGATGGGTCTCCATAGTTCTTGGCCCACGTTAGGCCTCCAGTGCTGGGATATTAATCGCTTTCAAAGGGCTTCCCCGGGGAGACGTGCTTACCTCAATTATGTATTCCTGTGTATCTGCCACCACTGAGGAAAACTCCACCAGGACTGTAGGGGGATCTTCCGAAATAACCGTCGCAGCCAAACGGTCAGCCGACTGGCCCTCCTCTGACCCCACTGCTTCTTCAGCTTCTTTCAAGGCAAGGAGGCAGCCACCTGGGGAAGGTGGAGGAAAACAGACAGCTCAGCAGCAATTAAAAGAACAGCAGGAAGGATTTTCCCCATTAAGGTCAATGTGCAGAAGAGCTGCTTACATAAATAACTGGACCCTTAAGTCATGTGGTAAAGGAGAAATCGAAGATATCACACATGTTTTATTGCACTGTAAGTTAAGGGTTTTTAGGTCAAGGCATATTCTCCCCTTATTAGAAAGATTACCAGGGAGGATGGACAGTTTTTATGTAGATTATCTCCTCTGGGACTCAAACCCGGCTATCACGTGTAGCGTAGCAAAATTCTGTGCAGCTACCACGACCACAAGGAAAATCCGATACAAAATTAAAAGATGTTTACTGCACCCATTTCTTGTGGATATCTCTAACCATTTTTAGAGAATCTTATATTTACACACACAAACTTACCGGCTCTCCCATCATATAACCAAGGGCAAGAGCCATATTGTTTGATACTATGTATTTTATTATTATGGACCTTATTACTTAGTAGTAGTAGTAGTAGTAATAACGCTATTGTAAATAGTGATAATTTTGTCTATTACTGGTCTCCGACTTAATAGTTTATTATTATTATCAGGACCCTTAAGTCATTCCATATAGATAGTCCCCGAATTATGATCACAACGTCATCCAAAATTTCCAAAAAATAAGCAAGACATTTAAGCGAGTTGGGTCCCATTTTACAACTTTTTTTTTGCCACGGTTGTTAAGCAACCACTGCTTAACAGTGCAATACTTATCACTTAATCACTTAACCGTTCTTAGGTGAGCCTGACTTCCCCCACTGACTTTGCTTCTTGGAGGCCAGTTGAGAAGATTAGAAATGGTGATCTGCATCTCCCCAGGGCAGTGCAACTGGCACAAACATGGGCCAATGGTTAGGCACTCAAAATTTGATCACGTGACCAGAGTCAGTCATTAAGTGTGGAAACCGAAGTCACTTTTTTCAGTCTTTTGAAACTTCAAATGGCCATTAAGTGAATGGTTGTAAGTCAAGTCATCTGTATCAAGGCACACCAGATTTATTGCATTGCTATACGCGAATTGACTTTTTTTAAAAAAAAAAATCTAAATATTTTGCTGTGCATTAACATAGTAAGTAAGGCTCAAGATTTTTCCACACCTTCAAAGCCTCTTTACTTACCTTCCCCTGGGACTAAAAATGCTTCATAGCAGCAGCTCCGTAGCACTTGAAAGAGATCAGGGGACAGACAGGTGGAAGGGCAACGAACCCAGCTTCTCTGCCGGAAGCCAGGGGGGAAGTAGGAGCACACACACCTATCTCTGAGACAAACCATCCTCCATCTCACCTTTGGTCCTCAGGTGCCGATTGAGGGTGCCATGCTCCGCAAACCCACGGCCGCATTTGTAACACTTGAATGGCTTCTCGCCCGTGTGGTGACGGATGTGGCGCACCAAAGAGCCCTTTTCCCGAAAGCCTTGGTTACAGAACTGGCAGACGAATGGCTTTTCGTCCAGGTGCGTTCGGAAATGAACCTGCTGTGCATTCTGTGGGAAAGAGGATCCTGTGAGTCAGCTTGAATTCCACAACTGTAGTAACTACTGAGATCCCATGGATGGCGCTAGATGCTAGCAGCAAACTGCAGTGTTTAAAACCTATATGGGGCCTCTTGGCTACTTGCATGATTTCATTCCCTATATCTTGGTGAAGGTGGAAAGTCCCGGACTTTCCAGACATATAGGTGATCTCATTTACTAACATCACCACTAGTATTAAGGATTGGTTGGGAGGTTGTACCCATGTAGTTGGGAGGTTGCACCCATGTGGGATCTATTCTCCAGTCCAAATACTGTATATATGTTACTTTTCCTTGCTTGCAAAAATGGTATAAAATAAATGCTGCCCGGGCAGTCAGACATCTTGGCACCCTGCACAATGACTGATCTTTGAAATCCATCACACAACTGCTGGTTTTCCAAAACTGATTTTTAAAAACCGATATATTCCCTTCCTAAACCCGCACACATGCAAAAATGCAATTCAGTTTCAGGCCAGAAACTCCCTATCTTTCTGGAGCAAGTGCAAATAATCATGCTGCAACAGGTATCACCGAGCACCCTTTGGGTTTTTATGGGTGGAAGGATGGGTAGATGGATAGGCAGATAGACAGACAGGTATGTCTAAAAAACCCGGTGCATCATGAAATGGCCATAATTTTCTTATTGAGTGGGGAGTTGGTCAGACTACAGGAGTACAGTCAAAAACAGTCACCACTTTCATGAGATTCCCCCCTTCTGTTTTCTGAAAGAAATCAGTTGATCAGGGCTATGATATCAATACTAAGACAGACTAACATCTAAGATAGGCAGGTTCAGCAACAGCTAAGGCTCAAACACACGAAGTCTTAGGAAACAGGAACCCCCAAAGGTACGAAGCTCCTACCTTGGTCTTGTACCTCTTCCCGCATTTGGGGCAAGGATACGGCCGCTCGTCAGAATGCACTCGCCTGTGCCCCTTCACATGTGCAATTGTCTTATACAGCTTGCCACACTCCCCACAACGGAACCGCCGTTCGTTCACATGCACTTCCTGATGCTTTTTCAGCAAGTATCCTTTGGTGAATTCTTTGCCACACTCCTCACATGTAAAAGACTTGTAGTCTTTTTTTTTTTTTTTGGGGGGGGGGGGAATAAAAGGAGATAGGACACACACAAAAATGGTTACGAATGGAAAACCCAGGACTTTTATCAACTTTAAAGACGAGTTTCTCTGGGCCTGTTCACCAAGGCCTGGCCGAGCAAGCATGACTGCACTACCTACATTCCTCATAAACCAAGACAAAGGAATGTCTACGGAGATTCTCAGTCATCCAGACAGTCCTGGTTGTCCCAAAGGTGCTTTTTCAAAAAGGCAACTGGACTTTGTTTTTTTCCTTGAAGATGTTTCACTTTTCATCCAAGAAGCTTCTTCGGTTCTGACTGAATGGTGGAGAATGGAGGGATTTATATTCCTTGCAGTCATCTGCTCATTAGGACTCTTTCTGAGAGTCACTGAAGTCCCCAGAAAAAAAAACCCTAATGACCAACTGCAAGGATATATAAATTCTTCCATTCTCCACCATTCAGTCAGAAGTGAAGAAGCTTCTTAGATGAGAAGTGAAACATCATCAAGGAAAAACAAAGAAAGTCCAAATACCTTTGAGACAAGACAACGGAACGGTTATCTGATGGTGTCTGATTGCTCTAAACCAGAGGTCCCCAAACTTGGCAACTTTAAGACTTGTAGACTTCAACTCCCAGAATTCCCAGAATTTCTCAGCTAGCTTTGCTCAGCCAGCTTTCAATTCTGGGAGTTGAAGTCTACAAGTCTTAAAGTTGCCAAGGTTGGAGACCTCTGCTCTAAACATGTGGAATATCAGATTAAGAGCCATGTAGATTAAATGCTAAGGCGAAGAAAGAAACACTCCAGTCTTCTAAGGGCTCTGATTTGGCCTGTGACAGCAACAGCCCTGTGGAAGGATGCAGGAGAAGAGGAAACTCCCCCACACCTCATTTTAAGCTCTGGGTTAATCGGGAGAGGATACTACACAATTACTGCTGCCTAGGTATGAATGACCAGGACCAAAATGAAGAATTGGCTTCAAAGTTTGAGAAAACTGCTTAGTTCAAGCAGACAACTACATATTTAGCTCAAACATAAACCTGGTATCTGGCTGTGCAGAAACTAGATTTAAAACTGCTCCTAGCAGTAAGTTTTTTTTGCACCAATAGAACCCAGCAAAACTGCATCTGGATATTAACGCAGGGATCTTAAAACTCATCTGTATAAGTTAGTAGGCAAAGGGCAAAAGCCAAAATAGGAATTTCAATAAGAACAAACACAAAGTCCCAAAATTTGGTAGGAGGCTTCAAGGACACCAAAAAGGAGAAAGGTCTGGGATCTTGGTGGATAAATACGAACTTACAAAGTGATATAACCACAAAGAAAATAAGACTGACTGAATCAACAGAAAGACAGAAGGGTCAGGATCAAAAGAACTCATTATTCCTCTTTATTCTGCATTGGTTAGACCCTATTTAGAATACAGGAAGTCCTTGATTTACAACCACCACCATTGAGTGTGTAATTACAGTCATAAGTCATGCCAGTCATTAAACAAATCTCCACGTGACTGCACCCACTTTTATGACTTTTGCAGTGTTTCCAGGGAGTAAATGCCAGTTTCCAGCAAAAAAAAAAACACATCATAAATTGTGGTCATATAAACCACAGGACACCGCAAGTGGCAGTAAATGCAGATGACTTGCCAACCGCCCAAAATGTGATCACACAAAAACAACCCCAGGGAAGGACTTTGCCTGCAGGACCCTGGAGGAAGAGGCCTCGCAGGATGTCACTTTACCTAGATGTCCACTGATGTGGAGGTCGAGACTACTCTGCTCCTTGAAGGTTTCGCTGCAATAAGGGCACGCGTGTCGCTTACATTCATGGGTCGCTTCGGGATCTGGCTATGAAACAAAGGGAGCCCAGCATAAATTACTTGCGCGTTTGACCAAGAGATTACAAGAGAAAGTTAAAGCAAACTCGAGAGTCCCGTTCTGATACGCAGCCCTACCAACACAGCCCAACACAGTACAGACCACGAAAGACACGCTTGGCAGCGAGCCAAGCAGGCTGCATTTAAAGGAAGAAGGATGAACTTACAGCTTCTAGGTGCTCAATTTCCACATACTGCTCTTCACACAATTTCTCAGATGTTTCCACCTCTTTGTCCTTTAAGTCCTCAGCAGCTCCAGCTATGCCGTTTTCATCGGACTTGGCACCCTCCTCTATGGAAACCCGCTCGATCACAATTCCAGAATTCCTCATGGCTTCTCGCAGTAAGTTCTCATTGTCCTCTCGGTCTGGGGACAGTTCCTCAAGATTGGACGACTGAAGGAAATAAGAGTGCAGCAACAATGACTGCTAATGTCAGACCTGCCTCAGCTTGAGCCTCTAAGAAAGAACCATCCTTGACTCCATTTGCTGAGAAAGGTATCGTTTACGAGAGGTCAAGTGAAATACAGTAATGCAAAGCCAGAACTGAAATTCACAGGCCAAAATCCCCAAGTCTAACTTTTTCTCCCTTAGGTGCCCCCTGGTGCTGCCCCCCCACCACGTCCAATCAAATTCAAAGAAGATGTTTTTCAAACAGTCGCTCCACGGGTGGGTTGGCATGCAGCTGCGTTCTGTTCCCAGCTGGTTGACTGTGGAGCAGCGTCTCAGGGAGAGGCAGTGAAATTTTCGTTTCTCTCCCATCCTCCCCCTTCCCATTCAGTCCCCCTAGAATTCATGGCATTCATTGGCACCGAACAGTAGCAAAGCACAAGCGTGAGGTGACAGCTGACAGCTAAGCAGGAAGAAAAAACTTTAACCTTGAATCCCACAAGTTGCCAAAAGCTGTTCTTTCCTATCAACATTTCTCATAGTTTTGACTTCAGGAACCTGTCGAAATGTCGTTCTCCTTCCTGACTTACATCTGGAGCTCTGAGAGTTTTGTTTGGCCGGCTTAAGTTTGAAATGCACTGCAGATCCTTCACAAGACGAACCTCAAGCAGTGAGTTGTTATTATGGGCTTTCTGGCACACTGACCAGGGTAGGAAGCATCCCTTCTCCTGGGTGTTACAAGATCATATCTCGCCCACCCACAGATTGCACTAACCTCTTGTCCTAATGCCTTGGTTTCCGAGACTGGGAGCTCCTGCATCTGGACATGGACCTCATGGAGGACATTCCCTTTTGCATCCGTCACCAGGTGGATTACAGGGGAGGTCTCCACGGACGGAGCTGCCAGCGAGGGGATGGCTTCACTGCTGGAGTTGCTAGCCCCTTCAAGAAAAGCAGCGCATAGCTAAGAGCGCCATCAGAGACTGAGTTCAAGGGAAGGAAGCAAAGCCAAGCACTTCAGTCGCTCCCTCCGGCTAAGTTGGGCTACTGCCCTGCCAGAGGCACACAAGGCAACCCGAGCCTTCGGAGGATGCTTTCACATGAACTTTAGGGGATGCCAGCGCAGTTCTCTGATGGACCAGAGATTAATGCTTGCCTAAGGCCCTCATTACAAGTTCATGGCAGAATCCTGGCACGGTGCCGGACTCTACTTGAACTATGAGAAGGTAAACCCTAAGAGATCTCCCGAGGCCCAGACCTTGTACGAAGCCTGGCTAAGCATGGAAAACTAGTTTATAGTACAGTGTGTTGGGCTGATGAAGGGTTAATTTTGGGCCGTGTCTCTTCATTCCTTCACCTGCCTGTGCATCAATTTGAGTAAGTGGATACTGAATTACTACATGTTCTATACTTGCACAACGTGCCGAAATCAAATTTCCTGGGTTCACACAGCACATTTACAAAAAAAGTCCATTACACTGGCCACTACTGTGGCTAGATGTGTAGAGATCCGTCCCTGATGAAATGAGTGTGGTGTCCTCCAGAGTGCTCTGCGTGACCCAGGGCTTATTTCTGTTCTGTCTTGGTCATCAGCATCAATCAAAATCCTTCACCCTTTATTTTTTGGTGCTATTTATTGCCTCACTAATCTCTTCACCTGAAGCCCTGGCAACGTGCTTCCTGAACCTAAAGCCTGCTTCCATAAATGGCGTGATTAGGACAGCCAGTTCTTTCAGCATCCCATTATGGAAACTGGCAGAAAACAGACCCTCCAAGTCCATCTCTGGTTTACAGACTGATGACTCTGGGTAGACAAGATCCAGATTTATGGGGTTTTCGGAATGCATGTTCAATCCAAATGGATCTGTTTCATCAGTGTCTTACCACTGTGTTGTCCCAGGGTTCACTTCATCTGTATAGATGTCCAAATCACAATTTCCTAACTCCTCCTTTCATTCTGAATAAAACAGGCCTTTTCTATCAGGTATTATACCAGAGGTCTCCAAACTTGGCAACTTGAGACTTGTGGACTTCAACTCTTAGGACTCCTCAGCCAGCTATACTGGCTGGAGAATTCTGGGAGTTGAAGTCCACAAGTCTTAAAGTTGCCAAGTTTGGGGACCCCTGCATTATACTAATTGGGCCGCTTTTTTCCTTCCTTTCTTTTGTGAACTGATATTTCCTTCCTTTCTTTCATTTAGTGATATGCCACTGAATTATGGCATAAATGGTTCGTGTAAATCAGGGGTTTTAAAACTTGACAGCTTTAAGACGTGTGGACTTCAACTCCCAGAATTCCTCCTCCAGTCATGTTAGCTTAGGAATTCTGGGAGTTGAAGTCCAAACGTCTTAAACTTGCCAAGTTTGAAGACCCTTGATGTAAATTATTACTGCATAAATATTCTGGGCCCATCCTCACATCTGATGCCAAATTGTATCAATTCTATTCCATCCCCCCCCCCCCCCCCCAAAAAAGCAAGGCACAGCCATTTGGATAAGAGCAGGGGAGGCCTTTTCACTGACCTGAGGCTACGTCCTCTTTGCTAACAACTATTTCTTTGTTCATATTGAAGCGGATTTTCTCAGTGCATGGCGTTAGGGATTTCAAATGTCGAGTCAAGGCTCCTGATTCCCGGAAGCTTTTCCCACATTTCTTGCACTTGTAAGGACGCTCATCTGGAGAAACCAAAGGAAAGTTACTTTGTAGAAAAACATGGCTCCACTGTCTCTTAAGTGAAGTTTCTGCTGCCAACCCTTCAGAAAAGAGTAAATTTGCTGGGAGACCTATATATAGCTTCTCAACCGTAGGAGCATGGAGGACAAGGTAATGCTTAAGCATCAGGAATTAATCCTGGAATCCTTTTATGCAAATCCCTCATCCTAGCTGTTTAAATACCATTTAACCCCCAATGTCTTCCCCTGTGCTCTTTTTAGTCCTACTGCTGAAAGTTGCTCAATAACCAAGTCCTCTCTTTACCTGTGTGACGACGATGATGTCGGATCAGCGAGCCCTTGGTCCTGAAAGATGTCCCACATAATTTACACTCGTAGTCCTTCCTGCTGCTGTGAGTGATCATGTGAGCCTTGAGAATGCTGGCCTAGAACCAAAGGATACAAAGGTTTATGGTGCTGCCAGACATGGGGCTAGTTTTAAGAACATGACACTTCAAACTATAACGCTGTTGCCTTTTCTTACCCCAGAGGCAAGAACTGTTGTCTCTCAATAGCATCATCTTATTTATCATTTATCTAACAGTACTATGAGCATTGCTAAAATCCTTAACATACCGTCTTAAATGTCTTGTGGCATAATTCACAGACGTAACGACCTTCCTTATTAACCAGCAGTTTAACTTTGATAAGTTCCAGAGAAGCACCTTCCCCTGGGCCTTCTGGATTATTCTGAGTAATTCCACCATCTTCATCACTGTGGCCATTGGGGCTTTCAAAGACATGATCTTCACCTACAACAACCTCCTTGATTTGCCCACTACCTGCAAAGAGGCCCAAAGCCAGTTAGATTCTTTAGAGAAGATCATGTTCCATAACCAGCTATTGCTACTTTTTGGGTGGCCATATTGGACAAACACCCCACCCCCACCGCCCCCATGATGGAGTTTCTGCCATTCAGACTGAAGCAAATCCCTCTGTAGGCCTTGGCAGAACACGAAGGGTTGTCAGTAGAGAAAGCACTTCCATGCAATGTTCATATGAATTTACTCTTAAAAAGCTTTAAATCTTTATTTTTCTTCAGGAAAAAAATATTGTTTTCTTTCTCTTGGGTTTTCCCCAGTTCCCAATAACCTTAGACCAACATAGATTTACAGAACAACTTTAAGATATTATTTATCTTAATAATTCGTAGCATGATATTTTCCTTTTCATTGCACTTTGTGTGAAGAGCATGTTTTTATGTAACCTTCAGAGGACCTGACTTTTGACAGTTATGTTTATTCAAAATAATGGAAAATTACAAAGTCACAACAAATTGCTGCACATGGCACCATACCATTTATCTTTTAATCCATCGCTGCCAGCATTGATTGACAGCAGCAACATTTCAAGAGGATTCCTTCCTAAATGCCAGGAACTGAATCTGAGATCTTTTGCATGAAAAGCAGTCACACTTCCTCCGTTACACTCCTCCCCCTTAAACCCTTGCAGCAGGCTTACTGATTGCCTAAAATAACTTTTAAGTGGCTGGTAGACCTACCTACAATTTCAGGTACATGGCCGATTTCTTCTGTTATTGGAGCTGCTTCAACAACTATATGAGCTACAGTTATAGCTGCTTCAACTGGCGAAATCACCTGATGGAACAAATGGAGCTTTAATATGAAAATACCTCTTGTGGTAGGGATGTTCCAAAATATATTTTTAACATAAAATTTACAATGCTGCAAGTGGTAAAAGCATCTCCCATGTCTTATGCTAAAGTTTCTTCTAAGGATGAGGTGATGCATTTTGCAACCATTACCCATCTGAGCCTACAAAAGCTACAATTTATCCAGCTTGCAAACCCACCCACCCCCAGCCTGGTCCCCAGCGAGATCACATGTCCCGCAAGCTTAGATGCTGCCTCGAGAAAACTTGCCGGGGTTGCTGCTGCGGTTGCATCCTGAGGTCTCTGGCAAATCTTCTGCAGCTTGTGCTGCACAAATTCTTCCAAAGAAGTGAACTCGGACTGGCAGCGACCACATTTGTGCCTATCATCTTCATCTAGAAGGCAAGAAAATAAGGACCCTGTCACACTTTTTAAGGCAGCGTGAAAAGGAGATTCCCAAATAACCAATCACAGCAACTGTATTCGTTCGGACCTTTACAGGCTTGGGATAATAAAACAGTAGCAACAGCTTAAACAATTGTCAGTCATTCCAAAGCAAACCGTGGAGCATCTTTTTAAGACCAGGGCAAGAACGGTGATCAAGATCCGGCCTACACAATCAAAAACAAGCTCAAGCCAGGCTGGGATTCAGTCTCCAAAATGGGGTGCCTGAGAAAGGCTCCCTTGCCAGCCACCCCTATACAGCCCCAGAAAGAGTCGTAAGAGCATCTCCTCCGATTGGACAGCCATCTAATCAGAAACAGTACAGCTCTCCTGCCAGAGCAGGGGGTTGGACTAGATGACCTCCAAGGACCCCCCCAACTCTGTTACTGTTAGCTTCCTGGCACCTGCACCAGCCCGGTTGGGGGGGGTGGGGGGTTGAATCCATGCTCAAAAGCAGGGAGGCCCTCAGCAGAAAGGGCCAGGCACCCCCTACCTACCCTGAAAGCCTCTTTTCTCGGGGCTACGCCACCCCGGGGAAGCGGCGCCGTCCCCTATTCCCTGCTTGCCCCTTGGCCCATCTGCCTGCGCTCTCTCCTTCCGCCCCCACAACACCCCTGCGAGGTAGGCCGCCGCAGAGAGCAACTCTTCGCAGCTCGAGAAACCGACCGGGGCTGCGCCTCGCCACCAGACCGACGACACCACCCACCCACCCCCGAAGGTTCCGTATAGAATTGAGCCGCCGCCCCTCAGAAGACAGGCCCGTCCCCCGCGGCGAAGACGAGGCGCCGCTTCTCCCGGAAGGCCCTGAAACACCGTCACTGAGCGGCGCCTCCCCCGCCTTCCTCCGGCCGGCAGTACCTTCTTCCTCGAAAGGCGTCGGGAGGCTGAGGAAGGCGGCGGCGGCGGGAGACTGAGGGAGGCCGCCCGCCGCCGTCGCCTCAGCAGCGCCCTCGCGTCCCCGTGGCCCAGCTGCCGTAAGCCCCGCCGGCCCAGCGCCCGTTGCCATCGCGGCTTCCATGTCGCAAGGCGCCGCAACCACCAAGATGGCGGCTTTACGGCCGTGTCGTCATAACAACGGGCCGGCGCTGCGGGGAAGCGGGCTCGCTTGAGCTTCGTCGCAGTCCCAGCGGGCAGGCGCGGCCGGGCAGGCGCTCAGCCAACGGGAAGACGAGGACGGCTCACCTACGGGGGCGGGGCCTGCACGGCGTTACAGCCAACGGCTCAGCCAATCGGCGCGCACTTCTCCCCGGGCAGCCAATCAGCGGCGCCGGATCCGGTTTCCGGAGGTTTGGCCAGAAGAGCAAGAGGCGGCCCTGTCCCGCCTCCTAGCCAATCAACGCGGCGGGAGCTCGTGAGGCGTTGAGCCCCGGCGCCCGTCCTCTCATCCGCCGTCCCACGATGGCGGCCAAGGAGTGCCGGCGGCTGGACGCGGCGCTGGCCCGGCAGCTGCTGTCCCAGACGGAGGCGATGCTCTTCGACTGCGACGGCGTGCTGTGGCGGGGCGAGGCGGCGCTGCCTGGCGCGGCCGAGACGCTGCACCGCCTGGAAGCGCACGGCGCGAAGCGGCTCTGCTACGTGACCAACAACTCCTCACGGACGCGCCAGGCCTACACCGAGAAGCTGCGGCGCCTGGGCTTCCCGCCCGCGGAGCCCGGCCAGGTCTTCGGCTCCGCCTACTGCGCCGCGCGGCACCTCAGCCGCGCGCTCCCGCCGGGCGCCGCCGCCTACGTGCTGGGCGGGCCGGCGCTGAGCGCGGAGCTGGAGGCGCTGGGCGTGGCCCACCTGGGCGTCGGCCCCGCCCCCGAGCCGGGCTCCGCCCACTTCGGCGCGCGCGCCCCGCTGGACCCCTCGGTGCGCGCCGTGCTGGTGGGCTACGACGAGCACTTCGCCTACGGCAAGCTCTGCCTGGCGCTGCGCTACCTGCTGCGGGGCGACGGCGACGGGCGCGGCTGCCTGCTGGTCGGCACCAACCGCGACAACCGCCTCCCGCTGGAGGGCGGCAGCGCAGTGCCCGGTACGTGGCGGCCGCGGGGGGACGGAGCCCCGCTGCTGGATGCACCGGGCGGCCCACCTTTGCAACCCGCCAGTAGCCAGAAAAGAGAGGGCGGGGGTGGAGGGTGGGGGTCAAGTAAAGCCGGGGCGGTGGAGTTCTAAGCAACTCGTGCAGGCAGTCCTCGACTTAGGACCACGGTTTATGTTGCTAAGCGAGGCACTGGTGCAGTGACACTTTGACCCGTTTTACGACTTTCCTTGCCACAGTGAACCATTAACACCGCGGTCCCCAAACTGGGCAACTTTGAGACTTGTGGGATTCAACTCCCAGAATTCTCCAGCCAGTCTTTCTGTTGAGTCAGCTAATCATATTTTCTTTGTGGTTATATCACTTTGTAAGTTCGTATTTATCCACCAAGATCCCAGACCTTTCTCCTTTTTGGTGTCCTTGAAGCCAACTATCAAATTTTGGGACTTTGTGTTTGTTCCTGTTGAAATCCCCATTTCTGGCTTCTGCCCTTTGCCTACTAACTTCTCCAGATGAGTTTTAAGATCCCTGCGTTAATATCCAGATGCAATTTTGCTAGCTTTTATTGGTGCAAAAAAACTTACTGCTAGGAGCAGTTTTAAATCTAGTTGCTGCACAGCCAGATAATAGATTTATGTTTGAGCTAAATATGTAGTTGTCTGCTTGAACTAATTTCTCAAACTTTGAAGCCAATTCTTCATTTCGGTCCTGGTCATTCATACCTAGGCAGCAGTAATTGTGTAGTATCCTCTCCTGATTAACCCAGAGCTTAAAATGAGGTGTGCGGGAGTTTCCTCTTCTCCTGCATCCTTCCACGGGGCTGTTGCTGTCACAGGCCAAATCAGAGCCCTTAGAAGACTGGAGTGTTTCTTTCTTCGCCTTAGCATTTAATCTACATGGCTCTTAATCTGATATTCCACATGTTTAGAGCAGAGGTCTCCAACCTTGGCAACTTTAAGACTTGTAGACTTCAACTCCCAGAATTGAATGCTGGCTGGAGAATTCTGGGAGTTGAAGTCCACAACTCTTAAAGTTGCCAAGGTTGGAGACCTCTGCATTAACAGAAAACTAGCAACCCTGATGGTGTTAGTGAATCTGGCTTCTCCCGTTGCTTCCCAGAAGGTCGCAAAGGGTGACCATGACCAACAGTCATATGTGTGAGTCAATTGCCAAGCATCCGAAATTTGATAAGGTGACCATGGGGATGTTGCAATGGTCGCAAGTGTGAAAGACTGTCCTAAGTCACTTTTTTTTTCAGTGCCGGTGTAACTTTGAACAGTCACTAAGTGAACTGTTGTAAGTCGAGGACTACCTGTACTTGGGCCACTCAGAAGCCTCTTTGGCTCAGCTAAGGCTCCGAGGCTCTGCAAGATCACATCTCTTGCCTTCCCACTAGTAAATTCTTAGCTTGATCCAGTGACTTATACGCTAAACCTCTTTCAGTTTAATCCTAAGAGGGAAAGGCATAACCCTAAACAACCTTATACTAATTATACTGGGAATAGAGATTTTTTTTCTTGGAATTGTGTTAGTGGAAGCTGCATACAGCCCCCTCCCCCAGCAGTAAAGCCCCATTCACAGGTCCTGGATTAAAGCCACGTGTAGAGTAATAATCATTATTTAATTGGTTTATATCCTGCTGTTCCATCCAGTATCTGTGATGTTCAAATATAAGTAAATACCATTTAGAACAGACTTTGGGTCTAATAGGGCATTTAACAAGCTATCCTATCCCAGTTCCACCGTTTGTGTTGTTACAAAACATTCCATGCGTGGCTAGGAAGATGGAGAGAGTGATGTGCACATGAGAATATTAAGTATTCTGTGCGTGAAACATTGTCAATGCCTAAGGAAAAGCAGGGAACAGCACATGGATGTGTCGTGGGTGGCACATGGAGGAGGAGAGGAGAGAGAGGCCTTCACCTACATAAGACCAGTTAGATTTTGTTTTACCCAGAATAAATAATATGTCCTTGGTTCAACTAGATGATAGTCCACCTAGGACCTGCCAAATGCAATTCGTTTATTTCAGGTTCAAGAACAAAATTTCCCATTTTGTGTATACATGTTCTTTTTTTTCCTGGGATAATGCTTATCACATAACAGAAATAGGGTTCTGTCCACAGAAACTTAAATTCTGTGGTCCTGAAGTCTGTTTATCCATTGCATCATGGTTTTTCATTGCTTAGCTGATGTTTGGAATGATAATTGTGGCATACATGCAGTGGTGGGATTCAGCCAGCTCACACCACTTCAGGAGAACCAGTTATTAACTTTCTGAGCAGTTTGGTGAACTGGTTGTTGGAAGAAATCATTAGGGCAGAGAACCGGTTGTTAAAATTATTTGAATCCCACCACTGCATACATGCATTTCCTTCTAGTGTTGCCATCACTCCCTGGATCTGGGGATGTGCTGACTTTGGATCTGAAGCTGAAAAAGCCTTTTGGAACAGGCATAGCTGCAAGGACACCACTTCTACAGTCCCTCCATTAAGAAGTGGCATTTCTTCTGGGATTGCATGGTGGCCATAAAATCCAGCAAAACAAAAGCTTGAGCAAAGGCAACGCAAGCAAAAAGTTGTGTCAACTTCAGGCCCGAAGGGGCAGGACATCCCCAACTTCAGCCATACAGGGTTTTTTTTTCCTATAGCAAAGTAAAGACTAAGTTATATGGCCTGCTCTGGTTTGCACCAGTTCCTCACTACTGCATCTGCCCGCCCCCCAAACCCTTTGCTTGCTGATTTCTTCATTTTTTTCCTCTTTTTTTGGTCTGTCTTCCTTTAGGGACGGGCTGCCTTGTCAAGGCAGTGGAGACAGCTGCAGAGCGGGAAGCCTTCATTGTGGGCAAGCCCAGCCGCTTCATGTTTGAGTGTGTGGCCAGCGAGTTTAAGATTAACCCTGCGCGCACAATCATGGTTGGTGACCGCCTGGACACAGACATCCTCATGGGCAACACCTGCGGCTTGACCACCCTCCTCACTCTCACCGGGGTCACGACACTGGATGAGGTTAAGGGCCACCTCAACAGCGGCTGTCCTGAACGCAGAAACCTGGTCCCCGATTATTACGTGGATAGCATAGGGGACCTCCTCCCTGCTCTCACCGATTAAGGAAGGGAGATGCTCTGCAGAGGTCTTTCTTCACCCCAAGGCACCTGCAGTCTCTTCAGGCTGGTAGTATTTTCTCAGTTACTGCGGTGCACGCAATTGCTGCTTGCAAAAGTAAGATGATTTTCGTGCACAACATTCAAATTGAGTTCTCTGTTTACAAATTCCTGTTTAAAAAATGCACTTTGAAAGAAAGAGGGAAGTGTGTGTGTGTGTGTGTGTCTATCAGCTTTCAGACACATCAAGCTGTGTCTGGCTGGTGTTCAAGTATCAGGGTGGAGGCCTGTTCATCTGAGCTGACGGACTGAGCAGGCTTCTGTTTAAACCTTGCACTGTGGTGTTTTGTAATGCAATCTTTGGAAATTCAGGGAATTGAGCAGTCTTAAGGGCAGCTGCTCTGGTATCTGAGACTTGATTTTAAGGTTGGTTTTTGTGATTACTTGGGTTCTGGGTCAGATATTTCAGGGGAATGGAAATCATTGTGTATCCATTCGTAATTTTTTTGCTCCTGCCCAGTGGCATTTGCACTGCTTTATATGCAAAACAAGAAATACACCATCAGGCTTCATACGTTTCTCTAGACATTCTTTAGAATTTCTGATTATGGTGCCTATTTTAACAGCCTATTGCAAATTGGTTTTATTGGTCAAACATGTAAAAAAAAAGTCCATTCAGAAATCAGATTGAATCGTATTTGAATTATTTGACTAAGTGTCAGGATAGAATGCTGAGTTCATTTATCAGTCAGTTGATAGTGGGAATTCTTCATGGCAACAGTGAATTTACTAGCATTTTGTTCTTCAGTATCTTAAATAGATGCAGGGTTGTTTTTTTCTTAAAGCCATTTTGAAGTCAGTGTTGATGAAGCAACTATATTAACATATTTAGTGCTTCCTATTGGAATCTTCTGGGTTGTTGATAGGACACAAGAAACATCTTTTGCAGATCTTTCTTGGCACTTGCCGAAAACAGATGTATGAACCATTTTTGCCTTGTCGGTCTGCAGTAAACATGACTGCACTTTTGAGGTGCTCAGGTAGTTTTCTTGCAGAATCAGTTGCCAGATTGTCACCTTTAATAAGTATGTAGACAAAGACTTTAAAAAATTGGGAGCCAAGGAAAGATACTTCTTTTTTTGCTTCAAATGTATTTCAGTTATCTTGCATGGGCAGCATTTTCAATATTGAAGGTGCTTGAAATTTCTGACTTTTTCATACAGCAATAATTGCATTATCTATAGTGGAAGACATTCTGCGATTATAAATTACATTAATCTCTCCACTGCTTTTGAAGTGCTAAAAGATAGATGATTACGTCTTCAAATAATTTTTCTCTTTTTTCCTTTTCAGTTTATCAGCTTTTTATTTGTAAGTCTAAAAAATTGTTCTCTTTTGATTATGTAAACTCTGTGAACCAATAAAAAAAGAAAAGAAAATGGATCTCTTGGGAGGACTTGTTCTGAGACAGTTCCAGAAAGATTCAGGACCATGTCAAATCTACATTAAATGCTTAGATGGTCAGAGCAGTTGCTCAAACAAGCTGGCCACAAAGTGGAACCGGCCATCTGCTTTCATTGTATCTTTTCTTAACAAGCTGCACTGTCAAATTCTCAAGTGGGCACTGTAAAACTGCTATCTAACTTCAGTCCAGACACATTAAAGTCACATTAAACATAATGTTTGCTTCCTTTTTGTGTGTGTCATCTTTTCATTTTACACTAAAGGAAAAATTTTTTCCCTTAGGAGTATTTTAAATGAGACCCCCAAGGCACCCCTACATATATTGATTTATTGATAGGTTGGGTAAGGAGAAACCATTAAGCAAAACCTGGAACAGGGCTGGGGTTACAAAGATGGGCATTTTACTGCTTCTATTTGATTGGTTACAACACAGCAAGGCACTCAATGTGAACCATATAGAACATTCTCCTTCCAGAAGTTAGTGTACCCTGGTACTGCTGGCCTTTCATAAGGCCCTAAAGACTTGATTCTTTGCCCAGGAAGCCCCCGCTGTGTGTGGTCTGTATGCAGTTCAAAATTCAGGTGGTCATTTTTATAGTCTAAAGCAGGGGGCTCCAACCTTGGCCACTTTAAGACTTGTGGACTTCAACTCCCAGAATTCCCCAGCCAGCATGGAGTTGAAGTCCACAAGTCTTAAAGTGGCCAAGGTTGGAGACCCAGAGCTAAAGCCCTATAGTCTTTAAGGGATGGGGCCAGGGTAATTTTGAGGTCACCTTTCCACATAATTTCTGCCCATCCTGCTAGATCTGGCCAGGATTGGTATGTTCTGGCTCCTCTTTATGTATGGTCACCCGGTAGAGGCTGGGTCTCTTATGGTGCCTATCTTTCAGGATAGCTCTCCCCCCCCGCGTCCCTCCCCAGATACCAGCCCTTCTCCCTGTTGGCCTTCAGAAAAACGGTGATGACCTGGCTTTTTCATCAGGCAGCGGGGTAAGGAAGTTGATGGACAAGGTGTAGAATGGTTGAAAGATGATGGTGAGAATTCTCAAGGCCTCATCTTGGCTTGTTATAAATTATCTCGGCCCATCCGTCTCCTGTGAGACCATAGTTTTCAATGTAACCCATCCCCCAAAGGAGGCAAGGTTTGAGTCAAGTCGTAATTCGTTGAACTGCATCCAGAATTGTGGTGCTTCTCAGCATATGGGGTCTTTTTTTCCCTTAACATCTTCCAACAACTGTTTACGTGCCTTACTCCAAAGGACTGTTCTAGGAAGGCTTTAACAAAAGCTTGCAATAATTAACAGCATGAATAAAAGAAATGTGGGAAATGGAAGTTGAAGTTGGGAATTTTCTCCTCCCCCCAAGGAACATCAAATGAATTGCAAACTCCACGAGGGTGTTTTTGAGTCCATACAGTAAAAATAGTGTTTGGCGTCAGGCTCTGATGAGTCCAACAAGTTCAATTGCTGCTGCAGCAGGACAGACTTCTGGCAAGAAGGAAGATTGCAAAACCTCACAAAAAGAATAAGCAGAATATCTGGCACACCTTTCTGCTGCCTTGGAGACGGGGGCCTCCAGAGGAAAAGGATCAAGTCCGGATTTTCCCTAGGGACATCAAATGGCTCTGGATCTGGAAGAGATCTGTATTTTACTGGAGCTAGAGCACTCCTTGCAACCCACCATAAGAAGTCTACATCAAAGGGATCTTCTCATCTCCCGCTCCATCAGCCAACTCCAAATGAATTCTATCTGAAACCCAATACATGCTAGCATCCAATTTACACCCCAGGTCCCTTCCCCAAAAACCCAGCTGGCATATGGTCACTGAGTAAAAAGGCACGTTCGGTAGTCATGAACCCCAGTTGTGCCCCACCTACTCCCCAAAGGAACTAAGAAGCAGTTCCAGAAGCCAAATAGATTTGTTTGAAGCGGGGAATTTTTGGAAAACAAGATTATAAAGCAAAGGGTTGCACTGGTGTCTTTATCAGCAAAGGAACTTTGTGGCCAGACAGGTTTGTACCCACAAAAGGACCGGGTTGATCTATAGTTGCAAACCCAAAACTCACAAATGCAAACCCATCTCAGCCCTAGCACGTCTCCTCCTTAGACTAGACATACCCAGTTTACTAGCAAACTAGAGGGACTGCAGAGCTCAGCTTTTCAGGCATAATAGAGGGAGGGTTGTGGGAACGGTGCCCAGTTTTAAGCTCGAGCTGTGCTGTGCACAAATACACTTGTTTGAAGGTGGGGAATGAGAAGGCTTGGTATAAAAGCATTTCATCTCCTCCATCCCACCTCTTGTTATCAGAGGGTCTCAGAAGGAGGAGGGAGGCTGGTGTGATCTCTTGCCAGGTAGGATTGCTTGGCCAGAGAAGAGGGCAGGTGTGCCACAGAAAGATGACAAATGATGACAGGCCCGGGTGGCCCAGATCTCAGAGCAGGCTTGCTCTGGAATCTCTTTTCAGTCCTCTAGCAGGACTCTATAAAGCCTTAGAAAGGCCACACCTAGACTACTGCATCCAGTTTTGGTCATCGCTCTATTAAAAAAGATGTTGAGACTCTAGAAAAAGTGCCGAGAAGAGCAACCAGGATGATGAGGGGACTGGAGACTAAGGCATATAAAGAACGGTTGCAGGAACTGGGCCTGGCTAGTCTCGGGAAGAGAAGGACCAGGGGAGACAGGAGAGCAGCCTTCCAATATTTGAGGGGCTGCCACAGAGAGGAGGAGGGGGTCAAGCTATTTTCCAAGGCACCTGTAGGCTAGACAACAATGGATGGAAACTGATCAAGGAGAGATTCAACCTGGAAATAAGGAGGAATTTCCTGACAGAACAATCAACCGAATGGAACAGAAGTTGCCTTCAGAGGTTGTGGGAGCTTCATCACTTGAGGCTTTCAAGAAGAGACTGGACTGCCATCTGTCAGAAATGGTGTAGGATCTCCTGCTTTTGGGGGGGGGGTTGGACTAGATGACCCTCAAGATCCCTTCCAACTGTTAAAGACATCAAGGAATATGGAGAGCTGACTAGTCCTGCTTACTTAGTGTCCGTGCAGATTGCAAACGGAGAGTTTTCTGCACAATGGGGGGATATGGTGAGCTTTGGGTTTGCATCACTCTCTTTTCAACTCCAGGTGAGAAGAGTGTGGCCACCTGGAGCTGACCTGTGGCCAATCTTGAAATCCTTTAGTAGGTGCAGATCAAACAGCAAAGTTGTGAGCTAGGTTGGGAAAAAAAATCAAAATAATCTTCAAACCAGGCAAGCCCCTTCCACATTGCTGTCCTGATAGTTACTTTTCGTGCCATGGACGAAACAGGAATCGAAGCTCCTTTTCACGCTTGCAAAGGAAATTTGCATACTCAAAAGTGCAGATGTTCTCTACTTTCTCAAAACAGGAAGTCTAGAACTTTCCTCCCACAAGGGCCTTGCAACCTTGAAGGAGATAGAAAGAGAGGGCTGGGGAGGGAGGAAGAGGAAGGGTAGGGGAAACCAAAGGAAGCAACTGTATTTCACAACAGACATGGTTTTGTGACATATTGACGGCATTCGCACAACATTCTCAAGTTGGTCTATGAATTCACCCAGTTTCTGAGTTTTCAGAAAAAAACGAAGCGTAAGCTAATCAAAAAGCCATTTGAAACTAACAATCAAATACAGCAAATGGACTCTATCAAAACAAAGTTGTGGGAGAAAACTGTTTTCTTATCTGATGGCTTCTTGTCCCTGAGGTTCCAAAATTAGAATAGAACAGAACAGAACAGAACAGAACAGAACAGAATAGAATAGAATATAAAATAGAGCAGAACAGAACAGAACAGAACAGTACAGAACAGTTGGAAGGGACCTTGGAGGTCTTCTAGTCCAACCCCCTGCCTAGGCAAGAAACCCTGCACCACTTCAGACAAAAGTTTGTCCAACATCTTCTTAAAAACTTCCCGTGTTGGAGCATCCATAATTTCTGGAGGCAGGTTGTTCCACTGGTTAATTGTTTCAACTGTCAGGAAATGTCTCCTTAGTTCTAAGTTGCTTCTCTCCTTGATCAGTTTCCACCTCCTTTTCCTTGTGCGTGGAAATAAGCAGGTGAAAATGCGGGGAGCAAAGAGCATCTCTCTGGAGGGAGTGGAAGACGAAACGCTGGAGCTGGTAGGCAAGCCAGGCATTCGCCACCCACCCACCACCCCCAACCTTTGCTCTCGGGGCCTGGGGGCAGACAGCTGCTCTCCCCCAGCCAGGTTCCTTCCTCCAAGGAAAGGCTGCGGAGCCCTGGAACATCTGCCAGCGTGCAAGGGCCCTGACACAAAGCCCTCGATTGTGCTCCCATGAATGCCTCGGCTGTCTCTCCGGGCAGGGCAGGGCAAGCCTCACTGGGGCCCGGCCAGCATCTCTCTGCAGCCCCCCTTCCCTCCACCCACTAGGTAGTCTGAGTTTCACCTCCACATGCCTCTGCCCAGGCTGGGAATCCGGGGGCACTGCTCACCTGGCTCTCCTGGGCACCTTCTTGAGTTTCTAACGGGGAGCTTTGGAATTGCAAAGCCTCGACTCACTTCAAGGAAAAGGGAGATCTGGCATGGAGGAGCAGGCCGTGGCCCACAACACCACTCTCAATGCAGTAAGTAGCCTTCCCTCCCCACCAGGTTTGCCCAGGGAGGGCCGCAGCCCGGACTCCCTGCTTGCAAGGAAGGGGTCGAGTCTTGTGTCCCCAAATGGCTTAGAGCCGCTAGATGCCCTGGGCTCCCTCCATGTTGCCCCGGCGAAGAGAAAAGACGATGCTTAAGTGAAGCCCCTCCATCGCTCCTGGGTCCAGCGCTACTCCATAGGTTGAAAACTCCGCAGCCTGCTTTCGAATCTCCTTTCCCCACGTAGAGAACCACCTTGGAGGCACCTGCTAGCTACCATGTCCCGTAAGGAATTAATCTCCTCGGGGTTCCCACAACCAGACGCCTTGGTCTGGCTGGCCCTTCACATCTGGAAGGACCCATTTGGAGAGGCTGAAGGGGGAGCTTTGTGTTGTAGGTGCCATTAGATGAGAGCGCTAGTCTGAGAGCAAGTCCCACATTAATCCTTTCTCGGAAAAGATGCTCAGGTAATTACGTTTCTTCTTTGCTGTAAGTTTATACATTCTTTGTATGTGTGTTTGTGTACATGTATATTGAGAGAGAGAGAGATAAATGGAGAGAGAGAGAGATGAGATACGTAGATGAATAGAATAGAAAAAGAATAGAGTAGAGTAGAGTAGAGTAGGATAGGATAGGAGTAGAATAGAATAGAGTAGGGTAGGGTAGGGTAGGGTAGGGTAGGATAGGAGTAGAACAGAACAGAACAACAGAATAGAATAGAATAGATTAGATTTATTCTTTATTGGCCAAGTATAATTGGACACACAAGGAATTTGCTTTGGTGCATATACTCTCAGTGTTCATGAGAAAAAAAATACATAATAGAGAGATGATAAAAGATAGATAGATAGATAGATACTATAGATAGATACCATAGATAGATACGATAGATAGATAGATAGATAGATAGATAGATAGATAGATAGATAGAT